TTTATCCCTTTGCACAACATCTAGCGTAGAAAACAGCAACATCAGAAAAAAACTAAATAAGACGTTTCTTTTAGAAACTCAACTTTGAAATGTAATTGGTACCTACCTATTTCGTTTAGTTTTAGGTGTGACATTTTAAATCAACTTTAAAATGCATATTCACGATGCGTTGTTGTGTACGCTCTTGTGCCGCCCCGCAACGCATCCTATGCTTGGCTCTAAGGACATCGCATTCGTGGATATAATGCTCGAACACCAGCTACACCGCGACCGCCGCGTGGTCACACAGTCGCACTTTACGTGCTCGCGAATGACGCAGACATATCAGAAAATTTTATATTTATCTTTTTGGGACAGGGAAAAATACGATTTGATTGACATTTAAGAAAAACGTGCCTGTTACGTTTCTCCGTGTTTCGGTCACATTGCAAAAGTTTTAGGACTTAAGTAAATAAACACCACAACTTTTAATGACTGCTTGAATGCTGACCACGGTAAACATTTTATTTCCCTACTAAAACGGAAAATGTCACAAAGATTAAACATTCATTAATTTTAATAATTCAATAATTAACTTAGAGGTTAAGTGAGCTTTTGGTGCAGTAGGAACTATAGATTTAAGAATATAATATCAAAAATAGTATGTAAATTAGAATAGTCAGTAAATAAAGGTTTTTATTATTATATAAACATTGTTTTCATTAAAAGGTTTTAAATGGTGCTGGACATACAGTCATTAAAAATGTACAGGATCGTAGTTTCAGCCGAATTCCGTCCACTACTGTGTGCTTACCATGAGTTTACGTTAGGTGAGCTCGCTAGCGAATACGTCAAAAAATTCTATGAAGATTTTATTTCTTGAAAGTAGCCGCTAGGGGCGCTGCACAATATGTCATACATTTAAATGTCATTTTTTTACGCAGTCGCTAGCGAGCACACCTAACGTAAACTCATGGTAAGCACACTGGACAAAGTTGTCACCCGGATTTCCACTACGACCGAGCGACCGGGCGACCGGGTCGGTCGGGCGGCGGGTCGGCCGCGGCCCGCAACCAGTAAGCCGAATACTGCGAATCAAATAATAGTATTGCGCAACTGACACGATTGAATTAACTCATGTTGCTCATAATTGAATATCTCGAGTATTTCAGCAAATTATTTATTTGTTACGGAATACCTGAAGGTATACGAGTATTTTGCAGTTACATAAAAGCTTGCATGTTTTTTGTGATGACATAACAACCAACCTTATAAGTAGGTAATCAATAGTATTTTAATGATTTATTACATCAAATTATTTTTGTGCACATTATTTTCCGATTCATGTTTGGAGGGTCCGGTGATTGCAGCCCACGGCCGCCATTTGCATGCCTATTTCTTTTTTGTTTCCATTCAAACATTTTTTTATTCGTTTCGTTTATTTTTTTCCAGATTTCCTGAACCACGGGGCTAGTTTCAACAAAAAATACGGTCAGTATAATGAGACGTCCTCAACAGCAATACTCTAACTCCCGTTAAATGTAATTTCAAATAAATAGTGCCTGAAACCTTCCCCTAAGAGAACCTTGTCCGCTCTCAAGGTAGCACTTTTCTTTGACTATTTTTTTTGTCTTATCTAAGATGCACGATTTTCTATTGCACAAAATAGGCCTGGATGAAACATTCTTAATAACGGTCTCTACATTGAGGCAGGACCTCAGTTAAAATGAAAATCGTAGCATGGGAGCTGGTCGCGCCGGCCCCAGTGCTGCCTGTGTCTGTGTGTGTGTGTGTAGTCTCCTCTACTAAGCACGAAACCTCTTCCACACTGCACATTTTAATAACGCGTCACAAACGAACCATAAATTGATTATAATAAAATATTTTATGATATTTATTTAAGTTACGTGTGTTTGTATTTTGTATACGTATGGTAATAATATTGACTTAAATATTTTAATATAGATATTATGTTTTTAAATAACAAAAAATATATTAAATTATAACCTCTAAAAGTATTTCTAAACACAATGCCTATAAATTTTAATGACAATTACTTTATAATAATCATAATATCATTGCGATAAGCAGAGGATTCTACATTTCAACGATGGATACAGCCCATTTTGAAGGCTCCTTTCGCGCTCTACGACTTGACATCTCGTACTCGTACTGTGTTCCTTTACGTGACCCTACGTAATGATAATTTAATTTTCAACTAGGGTAAGTCCAGGATAGATGCCCCACTTTTTGAAACAGCTCTGTAACTCAGTCAGTAAGTTTTTATCAACAATTTGATCTTAGTATCTGTAAACTTTGGTCTTTCGTCTATGATATTACTATAATTATTTTAGTTTAAGTTATACCGATTCTGAGTAAATAGCATTTTAATTGACCTCTAAAAAGTGGGATAGACGCCTAATGTGGGGGATAGAAGACTCACTGTATGATTGCTTCAAAGGATAGATGCCTGATGCAGGGATAGATGACTCGTTAATACAGTTTTTGATTTCTAAGGATCAAATGCTTTTTGAAATCAAACAAGCCAAGTATTATTATTTAAGATTGTTTGTTATTAAATGAATTAAATATGAAATTTAATATTTTTTATTAAAAATAGTACATAGTACATCCACCCGAAGTCGGGAAAAGAGGTAATTCGATCAGAAGGGCACCCTATTTATTACTTTCCTAAGGTTAGCCGTACTACATTCTTTTTTTCTTCTTACTTGCTACTTGTGACAAAAAGAGCAGGTTAGGATAGATGCCCCTAGGAGCATGGGACATGGCCCTAAGGGCATCTATACCCAAAAAAAATTAGGCAACTATCCTTTTAGCATAGGATAGGTGCCTTTTTTAATAAAAAATATAATAACACTAAAAATCGAATTAAACATAGCTATCCCGTCTAATTTATAAGATAGTCTATCAAATTATATAAAAATCTGCTTCATTTTACAGCTGACAAAAAAAAAATCCATTAAAAGATACTTACCAATTTTATTTCGACGCTCGCTAAGGTTTGACCGCGGAAGATTTTTGCTCTCACTGGCTAAACGAACGCACTCTTTGATGGTTTGCGAGGCGAAAAGTGGTACGGGGAGGTCCCTTTCTATTATACATACTATAACTTTATGCTAAGTTGCTTGTAACATAGTGTACTTAAAATCGCGGCACCTATCCCACTGGGGCATGTATCCTGGAATTACCCTATATGCCCATACACCGTACCTACACACTCTTATAAGCTCGGGTCGGTAATAATTAGAAAAGAAATCTTCTTTTCTAATTATTGTGATCGAAAAAATCTCTCTACTTATGTTTTCTTGATCAATAGGTGATCACAAACAAAACATTTTATTTAATGTTCACGCACTCGCTATGACGCACTTGAAACTTAAAATAGCTTCATTAATGCAAAAACATTATTTATCTCCGATCCCTCTTACATAGCCGACGACCATTGAGCCGCGTCGGACACATGCACCCTTATCTACACTAATATTATAAAGAGGAATACTTTGTTTGTTTGTTTGTTTGGTTGTAATGAATAGGCTCAAAAACTACTGGACCGTTTTTAAAAATTCTTTCACAAAGAACTAAACAAAGGCTAAATTTTATTTTGGAAAAAATAGGGTTCCATAAAATATGTAGGCAGATAATGTAGTCCAGGCGCGCGAAGCTGCGGGCGGAAAGCTAGTCATTGATAAAAGCAAAAAATAAGAGCTTGATATTACTGCACGTAACGAATCATTCTCGGCTGATGACGTAGCACATATTCGTAGCCGCTACGGCCTACGCGTTACGACAGTACGTAGCGGGAATGCTACGACACCCCTACGGCTGCGCTACAGTCAATCTATGGAGTTGTCAATTAATTTTAATTTAATAAATAATAATGTACCCAGGTAACTCATGTTCACAAACTATCTTGATTGTTAGTGTATTTTGTTGTGTTTGTTTGCCTGCTGTAGTAGTTTGTAATGAAAATAGCACCTATTTAAAAAATACAAAAGGATGCATGAACCATTTTGCTTGGTTTTGTTTCTGAGCTGTTGGTTGTTTCGCAAAATATCCTACATTTTGAATTCTTGATAGGTATAAGGTCTGTAATCATTTGAAAAAGTATAATTACTCGTAATATGTATCATACATTTTAGTATCACTGCGTGTTAATGACACATGTTGACACAGGTGCTATTCAAATTTTCACGCTGTGCGTTAATTGTCATCAGATTTCACTGTCAAATAGCACGTAGGTATGTTTGAGAATTGTTATTGTCTAAATATAATGGAATGACATCGAAAAACCGTACTACAAATACCGAAGTTGTCAAAAATCAATTTGTATAAAAAGAACCCGTGTAACGTTCGGCTGGAGCAACAATCAACAGGTCGGTCCCGTGGCGGCGTCGGACGCGTCCCGAGGAGCGGGCGCGCCGCGTGACCGGGACGCCCCCCGGCGCGGCAATTAGACAAACAATACGCCCCTGATATAACTAAATGTATCTCCAGCTTCACCTGGCAATTCGTTCATGTCTAAAATTCTGTCAAATCTCAACACCGACTGCTCTCAAAACAATGACCTATTCAAACCGGAACGTATAGCAGCGAACGATGTCGCATTCGATTCCTATTAGATCGCATTCCAATTGACTTAGTAGTATAAGAACTCGACTCGTGTCATGAGATAGGTACTACTTTAATTCTGAAAATGTGTCGTGATAAAAAACCGTTCAACATGAATTATTTAAGAAGATAACTTGTGGAATACATCGTGCAGCCTTTTTGCATAATTACCATAAAATACGACAGCGTCTCGTGTCCGCGTCTCAGCATCGGTCCGCGAGGCGGCATAAGGTAAGTTGAATTGTTTCGATGGCGTTTGAAGGAGCGCGGAGTGGCTGCGCCTCGGCGGCCCGCGCCCGCTCGCCGCCGGCGCTCCCGCAGTCCAGCTCTGGTGGCCGGCCCGATCGCTCGCTGCGCCGCGACGCGACGAGTCCTGCGGAGAGCCCGTGGCGGGAAGCGGTCCCTCAGGTGTGCGCGGCGAGCGCGGGGCGAGGGCGCGCGGACACGTGGCCTGCGGCGTGCACGTTGCGGACGAGCGTGCGGCGCGCACGTGCCCACGAGCGTGCTTGCGGAGCGGCGCGATGCTCCTTCAATCCTGCCGCGAGTCGCACCGGGAGCGGTCGTGTCCACGGTTCCCAGGCGCAGCCACGATTGAGTGCGTACGGGCGGACAGGAGCGGCGCGTGCTCGCGATGCTGGCCCGCGCGCCGCCTGGACCGGCACGGCTACATCGACATGGGCACGGACTCGGGCGCGCTGCTGCCGCCCGCCGACGCCGGCTGGTGCCCGCCGCCGCCCGCCGCCGACCGCGGGTGCTTCCTGCAGCCGCCGCCGCCGGCCTCCACGCTCACGCCGCTCACGGCGCCGCCGCACCGCCGCTCCGCGCCGCAGATGCTGCTGCCAGGTAGGTGCCCGGCCACCCGGCCCCCCCCCCCACCCGGACACGAGACCACCGTCCTTATTGATGTGATGTGACTTGAACACGAACAGACATTTCAGTAAACTGTGCCGTATTATCTGATGATGCCGCAGTTCCATAAGGAAATTGAATTTTCAAAAAAAAAAATGGATAATCTGGTAAACTGTCGGTAAAAATTGGTGTTGGTACCAGCTGTCGCCAACAATTGGTGTAAATTGATATTTAGCGGTTGTAGTTATTTGTAAACAGTCGGAAGTAAACAACAAGGCGCGCGACCGCTGCAGCCTATCTGCCGGCAAGTTCAAGGTCTCGGCGAGACGAGATTACTGACTCATTATTCTGCATTTTTAATAGATCATTAAGTATTTATTGCATTTTAATACAAAACATCTTGTATATTTTCTTATGAGATATCTATTAGCTTTATGCCGAGGTTTATTTTTGTATCTCTGCGTTTAACTATTATTGACCATTTAAATATAATACACAATAGATTATTTACCTATCAAACCTACCAAATACTGTAATGAAAAAATAGCAATTCTCAAAATATTTATTATACATTTTTAAAATATTAAGAAATGAATTCACAAAAACTATTGATTTCCCAAAAAGGTTTGTAGACATCAAAAATAGGAATTTTTCTCTAGTTTTAGTTTCTCTAAGCATGTTTTGTCATAAAATTATCCGTAAGGAAACATTTAAGAAAAACTGCTACTAGGCAGCATTTTTCCAATATGGCGGCGCAAGCGACAACCATACAAGGTCGCAAAGTTGAAATTCGTAAAAAGCACGTCGAAACCTATAGAAATACCAATTCTCATTACTCCCGGAAAACTTTCCAAGTAAAGACATTATTTTGTACCAAATGACTGGACTATAAGTCCATGTATCTTTATTACGTCCATTGTAATAAATGTTGCTTTATTTCTTAATCAATTATTTGCAATCTCGATCTCTGATTTGATAGTTTGTGATGAAAATCGGAGTGCAATTTATTTAGTATTATACATTTTACTTTGATGGTCTCGTTCATGACATGACATTTCTTATTGGATAGACACACATCATCACCATCATGAACAGCCCTTTACAGTCCACTGCCCACTGAACTATGAGCCTCCTCTACTTTAGTGGAGGGTTTTGCTATAATCTCCACGCAGGGCAGGCGGGCTGGAGATCGCAGCTTAAAAGGTTAATGTTTACCAGAGAGCACTGCTGCCCCGCCCAAACGCCCTTCTGAAAACTTCTTATTGACGAGTTGTTATGTATTCAGAATGGAAATAACAATCACTACAACTGTTCTGTGCTACACAACATAATCATTAATTAGTATAGGTACTTACGAGTATATACTAGTCAATGTAGTAGGTACGTATTAGATGACCGCTTAACCGCTTCTGTGGTCCAGTGGTAAGACCACCTGTCTCTAACGCAGAGGTACTGTATTCAGTTGGTGGTAGGATTTGTCCACCTCTACCTTCTTACCTTAAGTTATGTCTGTCACTACAACAACAATGTTAACAGCATTATTGTGTTCCGGCAGCTCGCGGTAAGATAGACAGTTTCTGGGTGGTGGATGATTACGGGTGAAGCTCGTCATCGCCTTCGGCCTGATCATCATTTTTTTTTCTAAAATATAATTTAGTTGGCTACTACAAATCATTTTGTATCCCTTTCTGTGATATTTAACTTCTTCGTGGAAGCGCTCTAACGATCGCTGGAAAATATTAGTGCACGCACAGAGCTTTGTATCGCGAAGGCTAATCCTAAGCCGCCGAGCTAAAGCGCGCTAACGAGACAAAGTCGCGGGCGGATTTTTGGCTTCTGCGGCTAATGCGGCGGCTGCGGCCCGGCCCGGCCCGGCCCGCGGCGCAGCACGTGGCGCGCGGCGCTCGGCTCATGATCGTTGAATTGCGAATAGGCACCAAAAGATCATGTGACGTCATCGATATGACTAATCAGTCTTTTTTTTTTTTTTTTTTTATAATAATATTTCTTTATTGCACAAAACTTTTACAATGGTAGTAACACAATTTAAATATAAATATAAATAGTGCATTGCTGAAGGAGACACAGAGTAAATATACAGAGGTTTCCAAACTAGGCCAAGCCTGTATCTTGGAAAACCAATAAAATTAAGTGTGTAACTTGCAGAGAAAAGGAAAACCAGTACAACAATGCAATTTCTGGTGCAAAAGAAACATCATGAGTTTGCTTTTATTTACTATATTTTTACCCGACTGCGCCAGAAGGAGGGTTATTTACTACGTTTTGAATTCAAGATCTATTAGGAGCGACATACCCTAATTAAAGAATAACGAGAAATGATAATCTCATATCCTTTAAGTCCTTATTTTATTTGTGATTATTGGGACAACATGGGATCATGATATTTATTTTAACAAACAAACCCTTTATTTTAGCTTTGCTTCTCTACATTATTAAAAAAATCTCGAATATAAGATTTTAATCCTCTATTTATTTTTGAACATCTAAGTGACGTTAACATTGGAAAGGTATTCTGAATCTAAACAAAAGATACAAACTATACCTGATGCGGGAAACAATAAAAATAAATTTCAATAAAATTGTTTCTGCTCGCAAATGAAAGATTTGTTTATTGGAGACCAATGTTCCTGGTTATTGCTGTAAGCTTGGATTATAATGCGTGTACGGCCCAGCGCACGGCAGTGGCCAAGTCAATCTATTTATTTGAAACATAAAAGTCTTTTAATATTGAATATTTTAAGGTTAACTAATAAGTTAAGACAGATGCACAGTGTTTTATGAAGACCATTTTTCGGACATGGCCTTTTTATCAACCGACTTCAAAAAAAGGAGGAGGTTCTCAATTCGACCCGTATGTTTTTGAATAATCGGCTAGTTAAGGCAATTTAAATGATACTACGAAATCCCCATTTAGCTATGTTACAACCGATTTTTTGTCGAGTTATTAATAACGAATGTCTTTGGTCTAATAAAAGTAATTTTGTAATCTATACTTATAATAAATCTGTAGAGAGGTCAATTCTGTACATGAAATATATTTTCAAAATAACTATCAGGGGGTGATTAGTGATCGATACTGATGCCAAAAATGCAATCAGTAAAATTTTTGTCTGTCTGTCTGTCTGTCTGTCTGTCTGTCTGTCTGTCTGTCTGTATGTTCCTTATAGAAACAAAAACTACTCGACGGATTTTAACGAAACTTGGTACAATTATTCTTCATACTCCTGGGCAGGTTATAGGATACTTAGGAATTCCCACGGGAACGGGAATTAGCGGGAAAATCCTTTTGTATGAAAAATCTAAACCTTGAAATTTGGCATGCAGGTACCTTAGTAAACTTAAAGCTTAGTTACAACAGGATATTGCAAAATTCCCACGGGAACGGGAGTTAGCGGGAAAAAACAATTGTATGAAAAAATCTAAACCGCGTAAGATAGACTTGAAATTTGGCATGCAGGTACCTTAGTAAACTTAAAGCTTAGTTGCAACAGGATATTGCAAAATCCCACGGGAACGAGAGTGAGCGGGCAAAAAAAATTGTATGAAAAAATCTGAACCGCGTAAGATAGATGAAGGGGCTGTAAAACGAGATCCACGCGTACGAAGTCGCGGGCGGCCGCTAGTACCAAATAATAGTAATTTTATAGCTGACAAAGTTTAAAAACGTATAAAAAACTACAAACATAATATTCTCGATTGGGATAATTTTAACGAAACGAATCTTTTTTAACTGGTACACGTCTGAGTATTCCTCGAAACTCTTACTGGGACCTTGTTAAGTTGTTATGATGTATTTTTATGTTTGTTTTCGTAAAAATTGAGAACGGAAACAATTACGAGTATTAACCTACTACATTCGAGTAGGTATTTGTATCAACAATAAGATTGTAAAGAGCCGGTATGTCAAGTATGTCTCAATTGGAATACATATGTATGGATTCTAATAATTTTAATTATCTACAAAATAGGTGTTATTTAATAATATTAATAATAGTTTTGATTACAACTGTGTAAAACAAACAATACTATCGATATACTTAGTTTATTTCGGTATTAGAAGTATATGTAGGTATGTATACTATAACAACCTCTACCGATAGCATAAGAAATACGTCCTACAGAAAAAAATCTGAGAAGTGGTACAAATAGCATCGGCCTACCGCTATGGTTATGATAAAGGTTAAACAATCCATGTATTTCGCGTTGAATGGCGAGTGTAAACATAAGTTTCTCTGCGAGTACAGGCGACATCGTGCGAGCGGGGTCGGAACGTGCCGACGCGCCACGTGCGCGCAGCCTTATCTGAGCGTGCGGCTCGCTGCGGGCTGCGGGGACGTCCGCGGTCGGCCCAGACAGCATTCCGGCCCAGATTGGCGTGCTCGCGATCATTTCACGCACCAATATTTCAATCGCGAGTATCGAAGTACTTCTATAGTGCCTTCTTACAGCGACGGAAATATTTTAATCACTCCCTCTATTTTCTTATACCTACTATTTTCTTAGTTGGTTACTATGCCATTACTCGTTCGTAGGTACCGATGATATCAAAAGGCCGATAAAAGTACATATCAAACACTCATGAAAATTAGAAAGCAATATCTAATAACTACAGCTGGAAGACTGAGCGTTTATCACAGCCCTTAAGCTTGGCAGCCCTCAATCAAGTGTATCCTTAACACAAATTGATGAGTTTCCTACGACCGTGAATCTTTCACGATGTAGTTTTCTGTGCTGTACCTTGGACCTGACTTGATACTGATATGTTTAGACTTATCAATTATTCAGACCCAATACACATACGAGTAAATTGCAATAACTAGCAGATTTCTTTGAAATATGTTCTTTTGCTGCCGTTTTAAACTTGCTACGCATATAATGTCAAAAGCATTATGGAATGGACCTTCTCGTTAGGATTCTGATCACCTGCTAAACATTTTTTTGCTTATTAATTAAACATGGCTTGCTCTTGATAA